ACAGCGCGCTATGATTCAAATGTGATATACCGCGGAATATGAGTATAACACAGAGACTTTTCTGCTTATTGCGAAAGCCGTTTATTTCTTTTTGGGGTTTGAATGAATTTCTTTTCTACACTCCAATTTGTCATCATCCGGCACAGAAATGTCTAAAATAAAAATAAAGATATACCAAAGTTTAAAATTACGGCAACTGAGATCGCCTATTCTTCGATTCTGACAACTTGTTTTCTTCTATCATCGACGTGAACGATCGAGAAAAAGTATCCTATTTCGAAATGCTTAATGAAACTGTCGTAACGCTGAAATCTCGCGATACTTCACGCCACTTGATAGCGACATTCTTCTTAATGCTCTAGCGACTCTTCACCGGTGACTCCAACAAACGACATTAACCCATTCTTCATACGATTTTGTGCCCATTTTCTATACAGATGTTATTTTTCCGTTTCTTTTTTTTTTTTATATTATTTTTCAACAATGAAATAATATAATCGAATACCCTCCTCGTTATTCAAACGACAATGACCATCCTTGAAGTAACCTTGTGTTCAATCCTTTTTAAACCGTATATACTTGAGAATAGTAAGTTTTTTTACACAAAAATAGTGGAGGCCGTACTATACACAGGTAATATGGGCATCTCGGCGTGGTGTAATGGTTAGCCAGCTTGTCTCGCTAGATCAGTTACAAATGAAAAGTGAGTTCGATCCTCACTAGATGCCCCATACTTTCGGCTTTGTGCTACATCTAAGCTACGCTTGGAAAATAACTATACATAGGTAATATTTTTGAAGAGGTTAAAAATTATGCATTTTTGCTGACCGGTTACACTATACACAGGTAATTTTTTTTCTGGGGAGATTAAAATTCGTTGAAAAAGAGTTCAGGGGTTGTAATATACATGAAGTATGGACTGAGCATGTGAACAACGATGAGGTTTTGGATAAGATACAAACAAGGAGGAAGCTTATACTTAACATCAGGAAGAGTCAGCTGAAATTTCTGGGACACTTAATGTCTCCTCAAACATGAAGAAGAGACTCAAGGCAACAAAGATCTGGTTCTACAGAAGGATGCTAAGGATAACCATGGACTGAACATGTGAGCAACGATGAGTTTTTGGAGAGGATACAAACAAGAAGAAAGCTTATACTTAACATCAGGAAGAGTCAGCTGAAATTTCTGGAACACGTACTGAGAAAGGAGTGCTTGGAGAATGTAATACTCACAGGGCGGATTGAGGAAAGAGAGACAAGAGAAAGCAACGTGTGACATACTTAGTGGACTTAAGTAAATGGGTGGCATAAAAGGGTTTTGGAGATGTAACAAAAGGACAAAACATATTGAGATCTAGAAGGAATAGGAGGAAGTGGAGAGCCATGATCACCCACGTCCTGAAGGGACGCGGCACATAAAAGTAGATATATAGTATTTGTTTATGGAGTGCCTCATAATAAAATCAACTTTTTTTTTTCAAATGGTTATTTCGTCTTTTATATTCATGTAGAAATATTCGAGTAAATTTAACTGTTTTCCTGTTATCATTTTCTGATGAATATTAATTCTCAAATCAATGAGTAAGTTCATGATGAAGTCTACACCAATAAAATATCCGTAGAAATCCCCATGTCATATCATTAAATATTTGAGCTTAACAAAATATTGTAATAACACTCATAAAGAAGTAAGGGAGTACAAATGAAAAAATCTGAAATTTTCCATTTCACTGAAGCACACATGAGAGTGTTATCGATTCTTCTATCTTTCCTCCTTCCTTTCTTTCATTTTCTCTCTGAAACCAACTAACATTATTTATGAAGTATAGTATTCGAGGATTCCTGTCTACTAGAGCAGCTAGCTAGTCCATATTGCAGACGCTTTTGCGTTTATTCAACACCTACAGAGCTCACCGGTGGTTTATACTGCAACTGTGCTGAGCAGACCTTAGATACAGTCTCTGGGAAAGAGCGTGTTATTTAGCGTGATCAACAATTTGAAGAAGACCATCACGCTCAAGCCCTCAGCCACGATAACGTGACTTCGTGCTAGCACCGCGGTCGACGGCACTCAAGGGTTCCGTCTACCAAATTTCATTCACAAGGCTTGGGTCAACAAGTGGAATGGTTTTCAGGCACTTTCCAAAGGTACCACACGCTAGGATCGACGCCTCCAGTCCGATAACATCAGGAAGTCTCCTCCCTGACAAATCGACTACGGTAAGATTTGAACCCGAGTCTCATGGTCAGAAACCGTTCTAACCACTCGTCCATATGCTCAGTATTTATTTATAAAGTATTGACTGTGTAACATACGTGCTAAAGAAATAAGGAAGCGACAAACAGATTTATAATATGATCATTTCGATAACTATTCGGGAATAAACGATTGTATTCATTTGTTTAAAGATATGATACTAAAATTCAGTTTTCGTTTTCCAGGTGCATATTTCGTCTTTTATATTAACACTTTGTTTCTCTTTTTATCAGTTATTTATTAAACAAATAACAGTACTTCCTTCCTCTTTCTCTGTCTCTCCCTCTTTTTTTTTTTTTTTTTTACTTTTTCTTTTCTTTTCTTTTTCTTTTTATTATCCTTTCACCTATTCTCTCTCGGCGATTTTTTCCGACGGTATCCTCTGTATACGCATGCGTAACACGCCATCAGATACGAATATCAATAACTAAACTTGCATTGAAATGACGAGCACATTCGACTATAAATATTCAAGCTCACGTTCAACACTTTATTCTCGTGTTCGAGAAAAAATGTATAGAAATATGGATAGACATATTGGGACGTAAGACGCAAACATATGAACATAAAACTTGACTAAACACCCTTCGACTAATAAACATGAAATATGACAGACGATTAACGAAAACAAATCACGCGTACCACGAGAACTTTTTCTTTAAATTTATTTATTTTCTTTCTTTCTTTCTTTCTTTTTTTCTTTCTTTGCGTCTATCTTTATCAGAATTCTGATCAGCCCGAAATGGAGTATTGCTGCCAGAGCTGTGACAGAGCTGTTCAATCCTAACTTTCCAGCCTCGACATAGTTCGAAAACGTTGGCACGGCCTTGCGGGTGATTAATTATTTTCAACTTTACAGACCCATTCTCACAGAAGCCTATCTTTATCCCGAGAGATGCAGGTTCAATTTCTACCGAATCGCTCAAATTCTTGTTTAATACGATTTCTCTAAATTTCAGGCCGTTAGGTGAATATAAATATACTGTTTAATATATAAACGGAACTAACAATAACGTTTAATGTGATACAAATACATCGGAATAATAAATCCATATATATATATATGTATATATATAAATATATATATAATTATTTATTTAAAAATATGATTCCATCGCTACATAAGAGTTCTCATGTTTCAAAACAAGAGCCGAAAACTTCAATATAATTATTTGAATTAAATTGAATTAAAGTACCGAGCTCTGTTCCATCTTCAAGCGAATTTTTTTTGGAATAACTAATTGCTGAAATTTAGACACCCCAACCTTATCCTGACTTGACGTCTTTGAATGTAACTGAGATATTGATACAAATTATTAACCCTTGAGCCCCTTTTCTTTAAATATTGCTCTAGCCGTTACTATAGAAAATTTAATTTTAATAATGAATATGCTTATAAAACGCGTAAATTTCCGTTGTACCCACCAAAACGCCATAGAAAAGATATAAATCCCCCACCAATTAAGATCTATGGATTCTAGCCTAACTGGCATCCAATCGAGGAGGAGAACAACTTTGAATTGAAGAACAAATCGTGGTCAGAGCTACCAATCTGTAAATAGCAGGTTAATCTGGAATCTCTAACCTTAGGAGGCAACCATTTGAAAGGGAAGAGGACTCTAAATTCCAAACTTTGATAACTATGTAAGTCATTGCAAGTCACAGATAATAAAGAAAATGAGTATATGATCGCTTACGGCTTCAAGGGACGTGGAATTAAAAAAAAATTGTTAGTATACGAATTTGATCAAAAAATATCGGAACAGTTACTATGGTAACGGACGTAAAGTACGCAGAGCATACACACTAAATTATAATGTTCTTACTCACTTTTATTGTTTATAACAGCGTTTGGAAGGAAAGTGTGTAGAGTGTGGTCGTCTGACCATATCACAAACGTTCCATAAGTGACTATGGTATGCGCAGCAGTTTTTAGCCATACATAACATTCCCCTGTTCAATGACCACCATCTTCCTCAGATCTCGCTCCTTGCGACTTTTTCTTGATTAAAAATCAAATCCCACCTAAAAAGAACAAGATTTCAAAAACGTCGAGTAAATCCAAGAGAAAGCTGCTCGATATCCTCCAAAAGGAATTTCAGGAATGCTTCCACCAATGGAAACTGGATACTGTGGCTTCAGAAGGGACTTCTTCGAATGCGATTAAATGTTGAATCGATATATGTTGTAGTTTCCTTTTTTTATAGCATCTGTCCCGATATTTTTTGATCAGACTTCGTATGCATTCTTTAAAAATACAAATATTTTACTGAAGAAAAAGCAACTGTTCTATAATGTTCTGCATCTAATATATGATAATTTCAGACATTATTTTCACAGTTTGTCATAAAAATGACGTATACTGATATCCATAAAGCTCTTCAAGTATTACAGTGTTCGGAAAGTAATCAGGTTTTAAAGAAAGGATATAAAAATAAGTTTCATTTATTTAACATATACGTCTATCCCATTTAAAATACAAGTCTATTAGGTTGGGCAAAACGTTCGTTCGGTTTATTAAGTAAATGTTCTACTTAATAACCCAACGTTTTAGCCAACACAATAATAATATGAAGTAATGTCGAATTATTAATTAAAAAATAGTAATTCATTAAATATTACTTATGTTTCGGGTACGAAAATAAACTTAGCAGATATAGTCTTCGAAAGATTTTAACGAGAGATGTGTTTTCCTTCATAAGATTCGTTGGCCTTTGAGTTTCCGTGAGCAGGCTTATGTCCACATTCCCGTACGATCACCGAAGTTAAGCAACGTCGAGCTTGGGCAGTACATAGATGGGTGACTGCTTGGGAATGCCAGGAATTGTAAACTTCGATATCTGAGACTCGGAATTGGAGATCCGAGTTCTAATTCCAGTGAAGTGCGTTGTATACGCTTACGCGCAAATATCCTTGGGAAGGGATGAAACTAACTCGCCTCCCCCCCCCAGCTATGGGTTAATTAGTAATATACTTATTAGTAAATCATTATCCCCAAGAAAAACATTCTGACAGTCTAAAAATATTAAATCGCCTCCAAAGAATTGGTAAGCCGTAGAAGACAAATCGGTCAATCTGTTCGCCGGGAAATTCTTCGTGACTGTGCGGTGTAAAAGCGCGCTGAGCTATGCAGTGGTTTCCCTTAAATAAGGGGACGCAGATTCGAACACTGCACTCGGGTATATTACCTTTATTAAAGAGTCTCAAACAAAAACCAAGCCGGTTGATGAAAAATATCCTGTTTTTTAAGAGACGTCTACTCAAACACATGCATTCATTAAATACAGTCAGTATGTGCCATGCGTGATACACGCTTAGGCGATCATATATCTTTCGGTACATGACTGACGAGGCAGATTTTTTTCCCGCAGCAGATTGCCATTTCTTTCTGCAGTAGACCAGTTGACATTCAAGGCTATAGAACCCGGTCTGTCCTGCTATTTACCTATAGCTGGGGGAGGGAGAAGAAGATTCATACCTTTACCAAGGGTGTTAGCACGTAAGTGAATGTAATGGATTCGACTGGAATTCGAACTCGGCTCTCCGATTCCTCAATCCGAGCCGCTATCCAATACTCCTCCTTCATTAGATCTAACGTATGCACTAAGAAGAAATAATGTCGGATTAAATGTACATGTAATCAGCTTTATTTTCAACGACAGCAGCTCGAAAGTTACCGATTCGATTCCACACTCAAAGAAATATGGACATTTTTCTGGGGGAAAAAAATTCGAAATACTTTTCTTTGAGCTTGTTATTAAACGTCTTGCCACTATATGAAATATTCTAGCGATAGAAACAAATGAACATCTGTTGGTGCTAAATCTGGTGAGTATGGAGAATCTGGAAGAGTATTACCCGCCTAGCGATGTTATTTTTTTTATTGGATTTGTTTTACAGAGTTGTGTGCCCTTGTCGTGTCAGGTTGGAGAATAATATGTGCCAAAGCAGGACGCTTTCGACGTTAAGGCTTCATTTGGTCCAGTTGCTAGAAATGAACGTCTGTCGTGATGGCTGTTCTAGGTCCCAGACAACACCTTTAACATTCCACTAAACAAAAAGCGAAGACTTCTAGGTATGGAGGTTGATTTGATATGTCGCTATCGCCATTTTTAAACCTTTTAACCTACAGCTGACATGTACGACCTTTTTCTACATGACAGCTGTGATTTAGAAGGTTTCAAAGTGGCGATTGTGATATAAACTATGTACGTTATATTTGGTGGATACATGTATTTAAGTAGACATCTTCTTCTCTTCTCTTCTTCTTCTTTACTCCGTATCCCTTCAAGACATTGGTGACCATGGCTCGCCACCATTACCTGTCTTCTGCTACTCTTAATAACTTTTACCTTTTTGCCATCTTTCCTAGATCCTGCTCCGTTGTCCACTTATTTAAGTCACCCACGTAGGTTATGTGTCGCTTTCCTCCGTCTCTTTTACCTTCAATCTGTCCTGTGAGTATCAAAATTTCAAAACCCTCTCTCCTCATTATGTGCCCCAGAAATTTCAACTGTCTCTACCTGATGTTAAGTATATGTGTCTTTTTTTTATTGCCATTGTCTCTAAAACGTCGGCGTTACTCACATGTTTGGTCCATGATATTCTCAGCATCCTTCTGTAGAACTACATGTCTATTGGCTCAAGTCTCTTGGCGATTTCCCAGTATTCACCGCCATATAGAAGAGCTGACATTACATAAGAGTTCAGTACTCTTCTTCTCTTGATTCTAACGATATTTTACTGTTTTTAAACCGTAAAACTTTAGTCTACCGGCCTGACTTTTACAAGATGTTTTATAAAGGGGATGTTCCCGTCAACAGGGTTCGAAACTGCGTCCCTCTTATGGAGGGGTAACCACCGTATAGTCCGGCGTACTTTTGGATCGTTCAGTCGCGAAGGGCTTCTGTTATATTCCGTGCTAAGGGAATAAATACTGAACACCAGGTGGATAATAGAAGAAAGGTTTACTGTACACAACCAGTACAATATGAAATACAGTACAGTTATACACACAGGTCAATCTAGTAGTGAGTGCCACTAATTGGAACGTCGGGCGCGCTTGCGTCTTCTCTCTCTCTCACTCTTCCTCAAGTCTCTCGTAGACGGTTGACTTTATAGGTACTTACTACCTATAGTGTAACCATTCATGAGGGTGACTGGTTATTCCATTATATCAGCTTCACGATAAAACAAGGCTCATTTGTCTTTATAAAGGAAAGAACATCTCTTGTTAAGATCTTTCGAAGCCAGTTTTAGCACTTGATGTAAACTCATCATTATATGAACATTCTGACCATTTCCCTAAGTAGCTTTCATCTTATTAAAGTTAATTGTCTATGTTTTTTGGATATTTTACTCTCAAATTCTTTAAATGTGTATTCTTTCTCTTGTATTAATCTTATTTATGAGTCAAAATACATAAACTGAATAAGTTATAACGATTCAAAAAGTGTATACATTATTTTTGGACATCCTGTCTGTATATATATATATATATATATATTGGAGAAAAATATATGACAAAGTGGAAAAAAAGATTTCTTGTGAATCGTTACGTCCTTTAGAGCATCACCAGAAAACTTTCTGCCGCTTTGTCATACATTTTTCCTACTATTGTTTTTGATATATAAAATATATATCGTTATCTCATATATATATATATATATATATATATATATATATATATATATATATATATATATATATATATATAAAATATATAATAGATTTTTTTTTATTTCAAATCCGATATATTTAATTGCGTTATTTTTAATGATCGGCGTATATGAGTAGACAGTCCTCGACTGAATATCTTATATGAACGCATAGAAGTGTACACCAGACTTGACATAGATAGATAGATAGATAGATAGATAGATAGATAGATAGATAGATAAAAAATATATATAGAGAGAGATACTCATAAATAATCATATATGTATTTGTAAATATATGCATATGTTTGCACAATATAAATACGTGTGCATCTTCTTGTATATATATATATATATATATATATATATGTGGGGGGGGTGTTTTATGTGTGTGTGCGCGCACGTGCGTTTGTGTATGTGTGTGTATATATATATATATATATATATATATATATATATATATATATATATATATATATATAATTTATGCATGTGTGTATGTGTGTATGTGTATTTATGTGTGTGTGTTAGCAATATCAATTTTAGTATGCATCATTCGGTCAATGTGGTGTTTCAATGTGCGGCTTTTCACTCATCGCCTTGTCTTTAATAGAAACTCCATTTATACTTAAGAATTCTGATTGCATACAGAATATGGCAGTGACATATAATCCATCATAATGTCCGCATCATTTCATCTCCCTAGGACAGAAAAGACATTTCGGCGCAATATTCGAAAAATGGTGGGAAAAAAAAAGAAGTGCAACGAAATACGAATATATATATATATATATCGGTGACAATATAAACTTATAGTAACAGCAAAAACCAATTCAGAAACAATGCCGAAAACTGGACAAGAAAATATGGTCAAAAATATATGACTAATTAAAGAACGAATATATTCAATTTCGTTATCAGGTTGTTATATTTGAATATATATATATATATATATATATATATATATGTATGTATGTATTTGTGTGTGTGTGTGAAACAACACATATATATATGAATCAATATGTATTTAAATATAATATATATATATATATGAAAAGATAAATATATATATACATTTGAAACAATATATATATATTAAAAAAATATATATATGTGAAACAATATATATGTATTTGAATTGAAACTATATATATATATATATTTGAAACAATATATATTGGAATCAATATATATATATGTGTGTGTGTGTGTGTATACATATATATTTGAAACAATATATAAATTTGAAACAATATATATATAAATTTGAAACTATATATATATATGTATATTCAAAACAATATATATATATGAAAACATATCTATCTATATATATATATATATATATATATATATATATGAAACAATATATATATGAAATAAATATGTATATATATATATGAAACAATATATATATTTGAGGCAATATATATTTAAAACAAGATGTATATAGATTTGAAGCTATATATGTACATATATATATGTATATTTATAATGAAATATATATATGAAACAATATATATATATATTGAAACAATATGTATATTTGAAACAAAATATATCTATATATTTGAAATATGTATATGAAACAATATATGAAATATATTTGAAACAACATATATATATTTCAAACAATACATGCATATTTGAAACAATATATATATATATATATATGAAAACACTATAATATATATATACATATATATATTTGAAACCATATATATATTTGAAACTATATATGTATATATATATTGATAAAACTGATGTTTTACTTAACTCTATCCAATAATAATGCATGTAATATTCACATATGATTACTAGGAATTATTTATTTTCTTTATAAAATCTTAAAATTCTTCTAGATAACAAGAAAGAAGTCAATTAAAAATTAATGTCCGTTTTCTGATACAAATAATCTAAGTCTTCCTTTTTTTAACTTTTGGTTGTTGTGTCTAAAGAAATATATTAAAGAACATTGTTACTGTGTTTTTTATTTGAATTTATGTTCTTTGGCCCAAAATCTAAAGTAAATTTTCAGTCATAAGGGTAACGTCACTCTGAAGCCATTCTTCGCCATGAGCAACAACAAAACGTTCAGATTGAATTCAATTGTGAGATTTCATGCGGTCCTAATTTTGTTGAAGATGTTTCCTTTCTTGTGGTAACAAAGCTT